GAAATAAAAACCGGAAGTTCATAAAACAACCACTTGTATTAGGTGTATAATTTATAAAGAAATAACAGATCACCTGTTCTTATATTTAGCAACAAGTTTCAAAAGATTAGACATCGGAAAAAAAGCAAGTAGAAAGTTGGTTCAATATATTATTTATCAAATGGAGGTCAAAGATAAAGATAAAGAAGCTATACATCAAGTAGTTGATATATAGCTCAATAAGATATAGCAATAGAAATAGAGCCTTTTTAAAATAACATGTGAATATATATATAAAGATAAAATGAGAGATATTGAAGACTTCCTCAAACTACACTACAAGATAAAGTTATTTATCACAAAAAAAGCTATAGGAAGACTGTATCAATAAATACAAAAGAATTTTAAGAAAAAGATCTGAAATAAATGCTACAAAGTGGTAATTGAGTAGAAAAAGACTTTGGGTATTGATAAAAGATCTAAATGACACTGAATTTTGAAGAAGAAGTATAAAAATCCAGAAAATCCAGAGAAAAAGAATAGTCCTCCATCAGAAAGATTTTACTTGAAGAACAGCTCAAAGGTACTGTACTAATTGATGGAAGAATAGATTGTATTTTATAGTGATTTCTGCAACACTACTAATGTGCTCTGCAATATTAAAATATTTAAAACTTTCAACATCTGGTGAAATCAGAATTTCTATATGTTTCAGTTTCTTGATATCTAATTCCATTCACTAGACTCTTCTATATTTTGTAGATTGAATCGCTACTTATAAAGTATTCATAATTAACCCATACACTCTGAAGAACTTCATACGCATCATCTATCTTTTTAGATAACATTTCTCTTCCTTTTTTATGGCATCCTTATAGGCACGTTTATAGGCATATTCACGAGCGGATATCATTTTCGGAGTGACTTCATTTACTGTACTATATTTATTTCCTTAATAAATGACCCGAGCTACTTCCTGGCCTTATTTTGAGCACAGATATCAATCTGTTTATATTTTTCATTTGACTCCATGACCTTCATGATTTTGTTGGTAGATGGTGGTTCATATTTCTTATCATACGTGATAAATCAGACACAAAATTCAATAATAACATTTTCGAAGTAATGGGAGTAATGGTATAGATCTAATTTCTTATTGCAACATCTGCGAATTCCATTTTATCAGGCTCCTTATTGTGAGTTTAAAATCCGATAAATCAAAGACTTTATCAGGATGAATCGTTTATATTTTTCTCTCACCCATCCTATAAATAGTGAACACGTTTATTATCTATATTAGGTTTCTATGCATCACTCTATAAACTGATTGAAATTTCATTTCCCAGAATTAGTTATATCCTCTTTAAGAACATCTTAAACAATCTCATGGAGTGTTCGATATTCATTGCTTCCCACATAGTCCGGTCCCCTATAGTCCTAAAAAGTTGGGACTTACCTTGCTTCACCGTATTAATACCTTTAATGAAAAGTTTTCTGGCTCAAAATTTTTCTTACCGGTAAACAAACTGGAAATAATGCTCCTCATAGGCCATTTTAAGATGATTTGAACCGGTTCTCAATTTGAGAAAAGTATTTTCCTCATAACGTAATTTCCTCATTATATCTATATTGATTTCAACTATTTTGGTCCAATACTCTAACTTTGAAATCACGCCTTTACCATTATCATAAGCGAGATCGCATAATTATTAGGAGATTTAAGATATAATAAATCGGTATCACCATGCATAATTTCAAAATCCTTCTTAGTTGCATCATCCGCAACGAGTTTGATAATATGATGTCCTGTTGTTGTAATACTTCCAGCTAATGCTCGAAGAAAGAATGAGATTTGCTATTTCCAGCTACGCCATAAAAGGTATTCATAAAACTTTAACAGATTTCCGTTTTGAGTTCAAACAATTATAATCAAAATATACAGTATAAAATTATGCTCCGAGTTTAAATTGTCTGAAATTTTTTACCTTTTTTCTCTATTGAACTTGAAAATTTTTTGAGTCGTTGTTTTTTCTCACCCAATATATTGAGTTTAATTTAAGTAAGTTCCACTCGCTTATTAGAGATTCACTAATACAACAGATACAACCATTTTTTTCTAATCAATTATTATGACGGACACACCAAGCATTAAGTACGCGATTATTGAATATGAATTCAATCTCATATAGGTCATATCCCTTGGCACATATGATATTTTCCTCTTCCCGATTTAATAATATTTTTTCTGGAAAAAGATTATATGGTGAAAAATATAATCCTGTTACCGGCCTTTTACTCTTAATACTTTTATTAGGCGGAAAAATATACGCATGCACCACGATACTTTTTTTTTTCTATATTTTTACATAACCTTGTACCAAATATCATATTACGCTTAAAAGCATAAGCGCCCAGAGATTTCGTACCTTCATCCCATTTGTAAAATAATGCGAGTTAAATAGAAATGTATAAGCTATAGAAAAAACTTTTCTGTATTGACTTATTACATTTTGCTTTACCATTAGCTCCTGGCAATGTACGTAGTACATCTATAATACAATAATCAGCTTTATGCATTTTCCTCGTAGTTTAAGGAGAAGAAATCTTTTTTTGCTTCTGTATAGGTTCTCTATAATTTTCATAGGGCATGTCAGCTTTAGCATCAAGATCACATTATTCTAAGAAGAATTTAGACGGACTTTTCTCTGAATGGTTATAAAGTTTTTTAAAACATAAACGGGCATCAACTGTTACACGCCCTGGTAATTTTAGAATGGTATAAGTAAAATAATCGCAAGCACTAAGTTTGACCTCTCATGTATTCTTTTTTATATACTCATCTTCATATTCATCCCCATTATCCATATCATTTTCATCATCACCTTTCTTTCGGAAATTATTTTCAGAATTTGCACCTATCTTTCCATAATAAATATATTTTAGATTTCTTCCTTTGATTTAAAGTTTCTCGTTATTTGCTTCCACATCCACTCAATAATATTTTGATGATAAGCTCTCTTTATAACGAAAGGTTAATCATAATTAGAATTATTAAAATCAACTTGAATATCAGGTGCGAATGCTTGCCAGCAGAGAACGAAAACTTTTAGCAGATTTATTTGATTTCACATGTAATTGTAATCCATTGTGGGTCTGGAGTTGTTTCAACATCAACTGAGCAAATTTGTTTTAATGGCTTTGGATCGTCTTTTCAATGTAACGTCATGCAAATCATGAAGACATTGTTTCTTTTTCTGCGAATTTGCGCACTCCTGTGGCATGCGTCTCTATATCCCGTGTTAGAACAAGTGTACGGTCTCTTGTGCGTACTGAGAGTAAAAAGTAGTTAGTTATTGTTGAAAAATCTTTAACCTAGCGAAATTCTTTTTTAGATATGTAGGATGCATGTGGATAAAGCGGATTAAATTCCTTTCTTATACGTATACTGTATATTTGCTTAGCATGGACCACCTAAACAGTTGAATTCCATTTTCTTGAGCCACCTTTCGATGAAATGAGTATATATTGTATCATAAGATGCAGTTTCGTAATTATTGTATTGGGAAGCTTTAATGGCATTACTTCTAGCAGTACTATTTACGTATGTATATTCATATATATTATTTTTTTTTTCTTGTATGAAAACCACAAAATGGAAATTCCTTGATATAATCAATCCCATATATTACTAAAATGGATTTCCTTATTTTGACTCACATCTGTCTGAAAATTTGCCATTTGATACGAAAATGTCAAAGGATACCTGAATATACATAAGGGCCATCACCGCCTTTTGACCATTAACAAGAGAACGTAGAGATGCATAAATAATCGAACTTTCCATTTATTTTTTCTATTGAGCCCCATTATATATGGTCATTAATGGATTATATTCTCACCTGGATAATGCTTTTTCAAGAATAGCGATTGATCCCTCACCATTTTCCGCAACCATATCATCATGGGTTGGAAATCCTAAAAGGTAATTTTTACCAGAGTAGTGAAGCAATTGTCCTAATTTTCCGAAATCTGTGATTACGGAAAAGCTTTGGCCCTCGGTGGTAGAACGTGCCATTATTTCCATTCTCTGGCTCGAAATTTTCCAAGTTTTTCTGGACTCTGGTCGAGAAAGTGGTGCTTCTGATTCCGCTGGTGCTTGATCGATATTTTCTTGAAAATTTTGGGTACCCATGGTAGGTGTAATAATATCGAATATTTTTTTGTAAATTTATATTATTTGTACGAAAAAATTCAAAATGAAAATTAATTCCATACAATAATTAGTGTGAAATATCATTTATTGTACAAGACAAAAAATCATCCCAAAAATATCACTTGGAATACATGATATTTTACGCATCATTGTGAATATATTCTCAGAACTGGAGAAGTTTGTGGGCGAGGTAGTTAAGGCCCGAGGCTATAATTACCATTGGAAGTCCCCTCAAGGTATACCTTGTAAAGAGTGTGGTAAAATTACCTTCTCTATATATGGTATGCGCGAGAAACATGCAGGTAAATACCGAAATATGAGACATTATTACTGGAAGAATCTGGAGAAGATGGCACAAAATGATATAAAAAATCGGCCGTCACAAGTTATCACGAGTTCGTCTCAAGTAAAAAAAATTGGCAAAAGCTGGTTTTTTGAGAGCCTGACAAGCTATCAAAGTTACGTACAGTATATCGTAGTAAGAGTTTTATTTTTTCCCTTAAAATTCTACTATATTTTACTTAAGTAACTAGTAGCAGATATAAAGAGTAATTAAGAGTGAAACGGAAAGGTTCAAAACTCTCAAACAGTCATCACATGTTCTTTTACAACACGAGTAACTTGAGTCAAAAATACGTACTGGTACCATTTAGTAAAATTAAGTCGATTTCATACTCGATAGCATAACCAGATAGTATAACTAGATACCATATACGTACTCTGGATATTTGCCTCCACAAGGATGACATGATCGTCAAACTCGCAATAACATGACTGAATATAGAATTTATTCTATGCGATATATAAAATGACAATAATGCAAGACAACAAGAGTAAGCCAACTCAAACTATTGATAAAACTATGATGCAGAAGATTTAGGAAGTAGACTGCGAACATTAATCCAGATCAAGCTATCAATAAACTCTTAGTACAGGAGGTTGGAAAGGGTTTTAAAACTTTTATAAAAAAGCTAAAGCACAATTACGATACTGAGTCTGATTTCGAACTCAAAAATGAAATTAAAGATTTTATACCTATTTGTAAACCTGCTACCAAGATCCTGTTACTACCAATGGTGTATAAATCACAAGATGTACTGTTACTTTTTTCGCCTCCTCTGATCCACAGGTCAAACTCGCGACGAGGGTAACGGGTGAGCATAAACTATTAGGACAATTTCCTTACAAACGAAATTATCATTCGCTATATAACTTTTGATATCGTATTAAAAATTCTAGAATCTTTAAAACTTCGTACAGAGTAGTCGCCTGTGGCTCTTCATAACTTGAGTTTTACGATGTACACTTCACAACTAGGGATATACAGTATTATTGATCAAGTGACTTGAATTTTGTGATTTTGCAATCCATACGTTATAGATAACCTAGACTAAGTAGAATAACATACTGTACAGTAATTATGTAATTTCCGCTAAATAAAACTTTAAGAAAAAATGGGAGAAATAAAGTAAGCATTGAAGTTTTTGATTGCATAATTAAGAACTTGGAAATTTGACGAAGTTAAAATTTATAATAAAAACACATGTGAACTAAAATTTTAATATACGATTAAAAATAAATCACAATAATCGTTATTTTTTTTTTCGCTTTATATAGGTTGGGAAAATACTTCTGCTTTTGTAGTAAGGACGGTCGAAACCGAAACTCGAAAAGGTAACAAAAGCAAAGAGCTATTGATTCATATCAGCTACGTTACCAGAAAATGTTGGTTATGGGCTTTGGAATCTCCGCAATTCTGGAACGTCGTTGCGATCGTAGGGCTAAAAGGAGTCTCCTATGATTCAATACTCCGCATATTCACAGACCTTGGTATTGATTGTATCTTAGTCATAGATTCGATAGATAAAGAGCAAGCCACTAACATTATAGATCACTTTAACGAATTTTCAGATTTCGTGAAGCAATACAAATAAGTGGGTTTATTTCTCATTCTCACGAATTTTTGATACTTCTTATTAACTCACGGTAACGGTAAGTATTTGACTTTTTAGGGCTTCCGGGTGACATTTTACTTAAATATTTAGGAATCGCAATAATGGTCACTATTAATCTCGAATGTCTTATTAATCCTGTTCACGCATTCGCTGATCTTCCAAGAGATGCTGTTATTCAAACAATTACAATTCTCAGTGGGGCGAGAGACGAAACTGAAATTCGGAACCAGCTATCACACAATTTAAAATGTCCCTTTTACTATTGGTGCATTCCATCCCGGTGGGGGTCCTCCCGCAGGCGTTATTCACATCTTTGTAGAATCCTAAACAGAATGTATATTTGTAACGATGATATATTCGCAATTTTATTTATTTATTTATTTATTTTTGTATCTGCCTTATCACGGGCAATGTATTTTTTTTTTCGTAATAATAAAACAACGACGCGTTAGGCGTGATTTCAGTTCGTGTAGTATGTTTATAAACCACCAATAACCAATTTTCATTCTCCACTTCTCTGATGTAAAAACTAAAAATATAAGGTTATAAGAAATGAAAATTAATTGGGTTTAGTTTGAAGATATTATTCTCTGCAATACATTGTACTTGTAATTTTATTTTTATACGAATAATAAACAATAGTGTTTTGGCACGATTTTTTACATGGCTATTCTTTTCGTGTGATGTGGTTATACTGTATGTGGGATGCGAAGTGAGCGTGTATGCTAATATTTCTCCAAGTTATCGATTCAGATTTTGAACTGCGCAGTATAATTCTTTCGGTACCAATTATATAGTTCGTCATCATGTACTCAATGAATTTTATATAATAAAACCACTTTACCGAGTCAGGATTATAGGGGATCCCAACTTAGGAGCCGTGGATCAGATTTTCGTAATGCGATCATATTAACGTAATCCCCCAAAAGCGTATATCAAAATCGATCCTGCAAATTACAGTATACAGTATAAAATGGTGATGTCCCTGTTAGTGAATCCTTTTATCTGCCTTGTGCAAGTAAAACGAAAAAATCAAGTGAAATAACCAAACTTACTATTATTTACACCGTCAATATTATCATTCCAACGAACAAGTATATTCCACAAAGTGATAACAAGATATGTTTGTTTTGTTGCTCGGCTAGCTTTTGAAACGTGTCATTACGATGTTACTCGATTTCCCTCCTCTATAGATGTTCCAAATAAAACGCTTCTTGTCATTAAGCACTTTGATCTTCGCCGATAGAATCTCTAGAAATTGCCTACATGAATCTCGTCACATGCTTAACATCACGCGCTTTGACAAAATTTGGCTAATAAATTTTCCGGAAATACTTCACGTGTCGGATTCTGTGCAGTATCGTAATTTCTTGCATATGAGGCGGAATGGAATGTTGTAAAAATTAATCGTTTATTATTATTATTATTTTACCGCAGTTTGCTGAAAAATAAATTATTTGACGTGTAACAGTATAATATCACGTGTTTTATATAAAATAACGTGATTTAATTTGATTACACGTACGCGATGTGATTTTAAATGATCCAACTATGATTCAAAGATCTTTTTCTAAAATCAATAAATTCTTCTTATTTCTTACCTCTTACATAGAGGAGCGTAAAACCTGGTCATTCTATGAATTCCTAAAGCATCACCGTAACACTATTATAAGCTCACCATCTCTTTCAGATTATTGGGAAGGTCTCAAAACTGCGTGGGTTACTCGCTTTTTGAGGGCTATAATCATAAAATTCTGGAAAGGAGGGTAGTATACTTATTTTAATGCCTGATTAAATTATCTAGCGAAAGGGAGCTCTAGTCGGTGGTTGGTCGACCAAGAGTATTCGGTTGTCGTGTCGACCCGAGTAATAATGGTTGCGCTTCTGGTTGGTGGTCGGTCGGCTTAGAAGTATCCGGTTGTCGTGTCGGGCGCCATTATTGCGACTTGCATTTCCTTTGCTTGGATTTGTTAGAAATCTCCATTGTGTCACTAACGAAAAAATTTTCATTATGCTGTTTATTCAATAGGTAAAATTCGAATCCAAAAATAAACGCCTAAAGCCTTATTGGGATGATATTATATGCGAAAGAACAGAAGTCAGTCAAAGCTATTCCGTTATTTTATTTTCTTAGATTATCACTTACAGTATTTCATATTATTCAATGTAAAATAGTTGTCAGTTGAGAACATGCATATTACTGGAAGCCTCGACCTGTTAGGTAGAGTTGGGAAGCATAATATTTGAAAGTTAGGATCCAAATATAACGAAAATACAGAAGAGGGAATGCCTACAGTTGAGCCAGCCAACAAAAGAGGTTAGTAAAGTTTTTTTTTTGTAATAAAAATATAGCCTTTGATTTTATACAAATGTTTTTAGTGATTACTTCTTATAACTATAGAATAACCAATCAGTCGACTCAACCGTTTCAAAAAAGGTAAAAACAAATAATTGTATAGGATGCATTCTTATTATTAGAAGTGGATCCCTTTGAAGTTTTCTTTTATACATAGATACTGTTAATAGTTTAATAATTAAAAAGTAATTTGGAATTCTATAGGAAAAAATTCCAATGATCAAAAATATAGTTTTATACTGTATAATAATCTAGATTACTTGAGCATAATTCAAATACTAATATAATATGTGATTATATATCATCATTTCTTAGATAATAAAAATACACAAAATATTTCAGATTTTTCAGATTGATTATTTCCGCATTTTCTGGTTTAAAATTTTTTGATTTTTTTTTTCAATTATTTTGGCATTTACTAATCCGATTTAAGCTGTCTTTTTTTCGATCTTTAATTGTTAAAAATTTAATCAAATTAAATCAGATCATGATGAAATTTATAATATAGATAGTGTACAATGATGTAATTAATGTGTATAATAAAATAGTAATATGATTAATAAAAAATTTTTTTATTCAAAAAATTTACTGTTGCATGATTTTTGATTGCTTTTTTAAAAAAAAATTTATTTATTTATTTTTGAAAAATTATATTTAAAATTATACGAATGTATATAAATCTTATTGCCATCCTATATGACTACTTTTTGTCTTAATAACATCATTGGTTCTTTTAGGCATTGTTTTTTATATTTCTTACAAACTTTTTCAGATATTTGATTCTAGATCTTTAATTAATTATTTCAAAATGTTTCTTTATTCTTAATATCAATGTCCAAACTATTAACTCTTCTTTTTGCATTATTTCAGGTATTTTTTATTGAATTTACAATAAGTCTGAAGATTGTAATAGTCAAAAAATAGTTTTAATTTTTTTGTTTTTTAGTTATTTTAAACTATTTTTGCCTTATATTTTGGATTATTATCATGTTGAAATAGGATATTTTTAAGAGTTAAATTATAATAATATAGTAAATACATCAATTTATTTTTCAAAATTTGTTTATAAAGATTATTATTAAAGTTTTTTTAAATTCTAAACAAATATTCTGTATCAAAGTAAAACATCTCTATAAATTAATACTATTCTTATTAAATTTAATTATAAGAATTATATGTTGATCCTTTAAAGATTTGATAGAATTTTTTTTGACAATATTTTTATCCTTAAGTTTAAAAAATTAAAATTTTATTTTATTAGATTAGACTACTATACTTCAATCTTTTATAATCCAATTTTTATATTGTTTTGCAAATTCCAGTTAAATTTTTTTATATTTTTTACTCAAAAGTTTTTTTTTCTGCATATATGCTTTAAATTTATATATTTCTATAAATTCTTGAAATTGATTTAATACTAATATTTATTTTTTAATATTTTTTTTTAAGAATTTATATATACAGTATTTACAGCTATTTTATATATATTAATAATACATTCTTTACATAAAGTAAATTTAAATAAATGGTTAGCAATAAATTTATTTTCTAATTTGTTTGTCTCTTAATAATTTTTTTTAAATCTAAATATAGTGGAATAAAGAACATTGCCATCAATTTTGACAGTAACTTGATATAAACCATACTCTTCTTTTAACAAGGTAATAACTTTTGATCTTTTCTCTATAGATAATTACTATAGTTTAAAAATATAGATTTATAAGAAAATTTACAAAAATTTTTGTATTTTTATAATTTTTTTAAAAAATATCAAAAAGCATGCAACAGTAAATTTTCATTAATTTTATTGTACAAAAAATTTTTTTTATTTTAATCACTATTTATATTATATATTGAAATTTTGTCATGATCTAATCTGATCTTATTAAGATTTAAATAATTAATGATCAAAAAACAGATATTGCATTTTGATAAACACTATAAATCAAGTCAATTTAAATTATTTTTAATTTGGTTTTATTTTGATTCTATTTTTGCAATCCTTAATAATAATTTTTAAATTATTATAGCTAGTAAAAATAGCTTAATTATTATTTACTTTTGAATTTTCATTATTATAAATAAAGATATTTAAAAATTATCAAAACTAATTAATATTTATTTTTATAGATATTTTTTAATAAAGAAAATTGTAAATATAGTTTTTTAAACAATTGAAAGATTAATAAAGTTTCTTAATATAAAATATATATATATTTTTTTAATTATAACCCTCTGTCAGGCTAGTTATGCATGCTTTATTAAACAATTGTAAGCTGTATATTATACATGTGATGCTAAAGCTAATTCTCTAACTAACTCACTCGTCAAAG